AAAAAATAATTACTATTACCGATTTTAAAGACTCGCATTTAAAAATAGACTCTGAGGAAAGCCTTACTTATCGAGTGATGAGAGGACCTCCGATTCCTTATCATATATCATATATTATATATTATATATTATTATTTATTTTATTATCATCATATTTTTTATAAAAATTTTAATAAAAAATTTTATTCGCAAAATTATAAATCTCAATTAAACAATTGAAAAATGTATAACAAAATCTAGTTTAACTGAATCACTTTTTTAAATTCGATGTGAGCAATTTGTGTTGTAAAAGTATTTTAACACGAAATACTAAACTTCAAGTTTATTAGATAGATGTGTTTTATTCTTTATAACCAACCAATAATATCTGATAGTGGTTATCATAATCACTCCAATAAATAATGTTACATGCGTGAATTAAAAGTATAGTTTTGGGAAAAAATACATATGTTAGCAATAGTTAGTTTAAATTGTAAAACAATAAAGACATATACATGGAGTTTTATAGATTTCACCAATTACAATAAAATCATCTGACTTTGAAACCTTTCAACTCGGATAGAGTTATTTTTTTGGAAATCCTCCAGTATCAATGTTCGTTGTGATAGGCCTTACAAAGTTACTGGTTGGTTTACCAAAAGAATGTTTCTGTGCTGAATCGAAAGGTTTCAAAGTTGGAGTACTTTTATAAGCTCCGCCGCCAAAAATTGATCATTTGCAACTTATGTCACGTGCAATAATTTTTAATTATCTGGACCATGTTGTGAAAAAAACAATTGAGTTGATGATGTTGCTATATGTAATTCCTCACGTAGAACATTTTTTGGTTTATAAACCATACCCACTTTGCGTAGCAAAATAACGAGTTATTGTTCAAAAACGATCCTTAAAATGTTTTAAGTTTCTCAACATCATCATAACAATTTATTATGTGCGGATTTTTTTTAGTATCTTTATCATATATTTCAACACATTGTAAATGTTGACAACAAAATTCAACTAACTATATATTTTTTGAAAACATGAATTATAAAAAAGAAATTTATGTAAATTTTCATGGTAAAATTTAATAATAAATCGAATAACTTTAAACCATGATAACTTTTTTTTTTCATAATAAAATTAAACAAAAATTTTTTCTATAATAAATATATAGAGAGTTTTTTCCCCTATCTCATTTGATTATAAAATTTCTTATTTGAAAAAATTTATTGATTTGCTAAATGTTAAAAAGTCTTCTGTAGCTAACTTCCGAATTACTTCACTTTTTGTCGAATTAATTTGAAAGTATTAGTATATATTATTTATTATTATTATTATATTGTTGGACAATTCGTTTTTGATGGCAAGCCAATTGAGTTAAAGTCAGATGATGGTAAATTTTTATATTAATATTAAATAAAATCAACCAATAATACTTAAGCCCGCTATGCTTACTTTGATCCCTATACAACTATTAAAATAATTAATAAAACATTCGTTAGTATATTTTATTCATAAATCTTTTCCTTGCACAAACTATTGAATATTTGATAAAACATTTGTTAGTATGTTTTGTTCATAGATCTTTCCTTAATGCTTACTTTGATCACTCCTACACAATCTATTAATAATTAATAAAATATTCGTTAGTATTATTATTGTTTGGTTTTTATATACTGTATATTATTAATAAAAAATATTTTTTAGTAATCACAAAATTTTATATAACACAAACTCCGCACGCACTCAATTTCCCAACACTGATCACATTGGCTAAAATTTTTTACTGGCATCAATTCGAATATGACGAATTTCCTAATTCGTTTTCTATATTAAAAAACAAAAGGTGAACCATAGTCTTAATACCCTTTCTCTTATTTTAACATTGCTTATAATATTATCTACTCTTGTCTCCGCTATCAAATCACTCTGTTTTTTTAACATAATTATTCCTAGTAAAATTATTATCTTTTGATTTATTTCTGAGACACAGAAACACACGTTTAAAAAATAATATTTTCTTGGGTAACTTCGTATTGAGTAAATAGTTGCAGCATATATTGTATGTGCTATAAGAAATTTTAATAAAAAATTTAAAATAGCATTTAACAAGGTTTTAAATAAAGTAATCGCTTGAAATATTTCCTAAACACTATCATTATTATTGTAATGAAAGAGTTAAAAACCAGATATATTGTTCATTCTTAACGATACAGAAGTGCTATAGTGCAAGTCACTTAGTCCCACAACTTTCTGCGCCACCAATCAAAAATGCAATAAAAATTTTATGGTCACATGATTTTTGTTTGTTGTAAAATTCTTTTTTGATTCATGTCTG